AAATAAAAATCAGAAATTAATTTTAGAAGAATCTTGAATTTTAGCTTTTTTTAGCACATAAAAGCGTTAAAATTAGGGATACAACGCCATTGATTGACTACTCTACTCCGGCGTTGAGGACACGTTTACAAGTATATTTAAAAGTTAATAACGTCAGAAACTGAATTTGTTTGTGTGTTCACGCAGCCGTTTCTCTAAAAACATGTTTTTCTTTTTGTTAGAAAATTCAGCTTTACCTGAAAAAAAATGTCATAATTCTATAGAAGAAATGGCAATAAGAGTAAACCGTAGAGCTTTTAAATTTGAATATTCTGTCATAAAAACTACGTTTTGTATTATGATTAGGAGAGGGGTGACGGTGGAGATAAGCAACAATACAAATGCTAAGGCTGACAAACAGATGACCTTCCCCATTTTAACGTTGAAATCATCAAATTCTTTGATTTTGTGATTATGTGCCTGCAAAACACGATGGTACACTTCAACTGCTGCTTGTATTCCAATTTCAAGCACTAATAACTAGATTATTTTTTTTTTTGTTCTATATATGCAAAGCCAACTGCACTTAACTTTCGCTTGTAAAGAAGGCTTAGAAGGCAAAAATAAAGTCTAGAAACGACGCTGCTAAAGATGCTTACAAGCGATACTGCATCCGGTAATATTTTTTTGTCGTTTATAAGTTAAGTTTTAGTTTTAAGTAACGGCAATTAGAATACTTACTGCTACTTAGTCTATATGCAAAGCTTGAAACAACAGGTATGGTCCAGCGTAAGTTGGCTGAAATAACTCAATTATTCGACCTGTTTTTTGGTGCTGCATAAGATGCTACTCTCTAAAGTTATAAAAACTAAAAAGTACGCTTCTTACTTTATAAACTGACAAGTGAATAATTACTTTTTTTGCCATGATCACAACTGAATTTTCCCTTTTTTTGCATACTTTCTTAAATTTTAACATATTTAGTGTGATAAGACAAGAATTGAGGCTTTATTATAATGATTTGACAACAAGTGAAACTAATTTTATTCAAGATAAGATTGTTTTCTTTGTGCTACAGCTCTCATCTAGTTTCAGTTGTAATAACGACAAGACTAACCAAAAAATATAAGATAGTGTTATGAAGAATTTTATAGTCGCACTCAAAAGTTTTTTGCTTATTACATTTTCTGTGTAATCGCTCTAGTTTTTCGTATAAACAAATATTTTTGACAGTGTCTGTGTCAACCCTTGTCGGCTATTATTTATATTTTTGTCACAGTTTGGTGGTCTGGAAAAAAGTTAGGAGTTTACTTACTGTGATCAAATGTTAGTTGTTTCAATTTTTTATTAATTCGTTTAATTATATTTTGCCAAAAAAAGATTTAATTAAACTTATGGTCTTTTTTTTAACTTTTCTAATTTCACTTTCTTAATTTTTCAATAGTCAGTTAAACATCAAATGAAGTGAAAACTGATTACACAGAAATTCTTGAACTATTATTAAGTATCGGTTACTCGCCTGTATTGCTAGAAATTCAGATTTTCTTTGTTACATACAGCGGTAAAATCAAAAAAAAAATTACTGATGAGAACACATCTATTGAGACAGAAACCTTTATAAAAGCAAAATTTTTACTAATGATACACTTCCGTCAATTAAAATTTCCTGTTTTTCTAGCTATATATCCAAAACATTTCTTATTTTTTCATTCTTTAAAAGATTGTTTTGTTCTTAACAGTTCTGTCACAGATATGCTTTTCTTTGAAATCATATTCTTGCAGTACAATTTTTTCCTTTTTAAATTTGTAAAATCGACATTTTTTAAAGAAAAACTACAAAATTTCTCTTGATTTTTCTTTTTATTTACTTTATTATTTTGCTTTTGACCTAAAATAATAATTTGTAATAATACTTAAACGAAAATTCTGATGTTATGTTATGAAAGCAACCGAAGATGTTTAAACTTTTCTCATTGGTTCTTGACCGCTTATGATATATTTAATATAAACACTTAATAACACTTTTTTCTAACCACCAGAGAATTATGAAAATTAGTTTTAGAATATGACAGAATATTCTGAAAGTTTTAGGAATTAATGCTGTTTGTAAAACAAGGTTTTTTATCGTTTAAATAATTTCAGCTTAAGTGTTAGCTGTTAATGGATCATAAATTTTTTATTGAAAAGCTAACCGCCTAAATAATTGTTTTTAGGTCTTTAGGTAGTATAGATTAATTTTATAAACATCATAATATTTTATCACTTCATTTTCGCTTAAAATTGTATTTAATGTCTAAAAAAAATTTTTTCCTAAATCAATGTAATCAAGAGGTCAAAATTTTATCTTTTGTTACTTAATATTTGATTACTTGAGACTAATAGATAAGACAAAATTAGAGAAAGTTGTTTAAAAAAAAAAAAAGGTGATTAACTGCTGAACTTTACTTTGATATTTCAAGGCAACATTTTAGAGGCATTCTCACATCTTGTCTAAATTTGTTAATTATATATAACATACAGCAGTGAGAATAAACAAAAGCAAGTCTTTTGGCTTTTATTCTTCTCAAAATACGTAATTTTTATCTAAATATCTTTCTGTGCGTACTGCTTTTAGTGAGAAAAATGAACAAGTAAGCAAAATAATAAAGAACAAACAGTGCTTATTCTGTCTGCTCTTGTTTATGTGTTTGTAAGAAATTTGTTAGTAGCTTGGAGAACTAGCTCATAGAAGGTTATTCTTTTATTTTTTTTTATAATTTTTGATTTTTTTGTTTTAAATTAATGTTGATTATTTAAAACATTATTTTTTATTTTGGTAGTATTAATGGTGATGTGCCTAACTTTCTTGTTAGATCTAGGCATCTATTTAATCAGGTTTTTCTTTCTGGAGAACTGGTCATGAGTTACATTTAGAAATATGCTGAAACTGTTAACCAACAGACCTTACTGATACTCTAAATTGCATTTTCTTCAATGTTCTAATTCAAATTTTTTTGCTGCTTTCTTATTATATAAAACCATTTCTATGAGGTCTTTTTGTCACTAATGGTGAAAACAAATAGATGCTTTTTTTTTTTTTTTTGAGTTGCTCTCTGCAAAACTTGTAATATACAAATCTTAAACTCTTTCTTTGCCAAACTTAATTGTAAAGATATTTCGGGCAATCAGAGAAAAAATAGCAAAATTTTTTGAAACTGTGTAAACTGTCATCTTAGTAAAGTTGTCAGTAAGCTTCAGTAAAATTGCCTGGGTGCTATGCAACTACTCATTAGTCTCTTTATTATATTTCAGAAAGAAATAAAATAGATTTTTGTTTAATTTTCTTTACTTTTTCAAATTTAAAAAATTTTTCTTATTAGATATAAAAAGCTAAGCAACTTTTCAGTTATCTGGTTCTGATGTAATAAAGTTTTTTTAAATAATCAGTGAGAAAAATTTGATGAATCTTTTTTTTGAAGGTTTTTCCAAGATGTGATTACTAATTAGTGTTTTAAATTAACTGTTGTTATTAAAATTACTGCTTTTCACTGTCATTGCTGCCTAGTGTGACGTAATTAAAACATACAGAGCAAAACAGAAATCCATAATATCGATAGAAGTTTCAGTATTTTCCTGGAACAGTTACGTAAACTTTGGGACACTTTTCTTTCCAAGTGAACTACTTCTGAAGTAAAACCATTTACCAAGAAAGCATTGCGAAACCAAAATTATTTTTAACATAAATTGTTTTTTGATTCTGATTCTTTCTACTTTTATTATTATTTACATATTGCATTTGTAATGAAGACAAATCAAAGTTTTTGGCTGATAATTTTTTTGCTTGAGGTTGATAACTGTTTGTATGAAAATATTTTCTTTGTTTTCTCGTTCTTTTTTGTTCTTTGCTTTGATTTAACAATTTCAAAATGAGTTTCTAAAACTAAAAATTAATGAAGCTTTGGAAGGTGAAATTAGAGAAAGGATGGTTTTAAAAAAGTATATTAGAGGTTATTCCATGCGGTGATTCCAGTTTTAAAACAACCTTTAGAGTGTGAAAAGTGTAACAGCTGCAAAGGATCTGGCTAATTTTCACGTAATTAATGGACAGTAAACACTAATTGGTTGTGCTTCTCAGTAGCGCAAAGCATGAAATTTAAATCTTGAAAAGAACAGCACTAAGGAGTTTGCTGTTTGGGACCGATTGTGCGGCAAATACTCTTGAAAAATTATTTAAAGAAATGCTGAAATATAGACTGGTTTACGAGAAGGCTTAGAGAGGTGGCAGAGAATATCATAAGACTTATTTTCAGAAGTGGGTGGAAGGTGGTGATTTTGTCACATGATAACAATTTCATGTGTCTTCAAGTATCTTGTTTATCAATTGCCGGATTTCCGGCAACCATATCCTGCAATTTGACTGCATTTTGGATTTTAGCGTATTCAGGTCAATAAAATATAATCTCATTTTCTAGAGTTTAAAAAAATGTGACGTTTCAAGAGAATCTGTTAGTGATTAAGTGATTCACTGTCTAAACAAAATTGTCTCATTAAAAAGCCATTTGGATAGTTATTTGTAGATAATTAGCAGCGGTGAGGAATTCTTTGTTTACTGAAATATACTTTCTTACTTAATGACTGAATGCTGAATAGAAAAGCCAAAAGATTCTGTGTTATACAGATGTACTTAGTCATGAGTGTATGGTTGTTGCGAAAATCCATGAAGTTACACTTTTTTGGGATTTATTTACCAGTTTATTGCCAATGACTGACTGTAAAAAATAAGTGATTTTATATATAAACTATAAAATCTTCGAACAGTAAGTCTTGGTTTAAGAAATACTAATTCAATTCGGTGGTTCTTTAACTGCATATCCAACTTTATAAGGGCACTGCTTCAACAGTAATTCTAAGGATCAATTTAATTATAATTTGTCCACTGCATTTTTATGTGTCAGTATGTTCGATTTATCTGGTATACTGCAGCTCCTGATGAGGATCCTCTTTACAGCAAATCCGAATACCCCTTTTCCAGAATGTTGGCGATGTCAAGCGGAGCTTACAATCCCAGAAACGTGGCACCTGATAATTCTTTTGAAGCAATTACTGAAATAACCTCTAGTTTAAAGACGAATCTCCACGTTGATTTTCAAAACACTCCATCCAAAGCCGTTCGGCAAATGACCATTGAAGAAGAAAGAAGCGGTGAATACTTTCGGTAACAAAATGTTTGATTTCTAATTCAGACAGTGGGTTAATTTATTAGAATAAAATAGCTCAAAATGATTCTATTAAGGCAGGAACAAGTACTGGAAATTTTACCATCGATGACCTACTTGGAGCATTTGAGTGGCTTAAGGATATCCGAGCCCCCATACCTTGTTCGGAAAACTGGAATCATTTGTACAATTGGTTAGCAAACAACAAGATCAAAAAACAATTCTTCTCAAAAAAACAGCTTTACTAACCGAGACTTGTGCTTACAAAAAGCTTTTATCTTAGGGCCTGTAAGTCGAAGCGTAAAACTGTTACAAGCGATGATACAGAATGGAATGAACATTGCGCGGTTAAATTTCAGTCATGGATCTCATAAAGTATAATCTTCTAGTAGCTCATCGTTTACAATACAGAATAACCATTTGTTTGCTATACCTTAACATCATTTCGTCAATTTCAGTATCATGCGGAGACAATCGCAAATATTCGTGAAGCTGCAGAAAGTTTCAGTGTTCCACGTATAGTAGCCATTGCTCTTGATACAAAAGGACCCGAAATACGCACTGGAATCATAAAAGGAGTAAGTCAGATGTAACTTCAAATTTAATTTAAACCTGAATCTTTCGGTCAAGTAAAAATCTTTATGCACTTTTTCTTGAATTCATGAAGCAACTTATTGCCACTGTTTAATTGTCAAGAATAAAAATAAAAAGTGTACGCTTCTACATGCTAGGATGAAAGAGCGGAAGTGGAGTTGGTGAAAGGAGCCACCGTCTGTATCACCACCGATCCAGCTTTTGAGAATTGCTGCACAGCCAACTACATATACGTGGATTACAAGAACATCACCAAAGTTGTGCGAGTCGGTTCGAGAGTTTTCATCGATGATGGTCTTCTGTCACTTATAGTTGAAGAACTAGGTAAGAATGCCAAATCGTTTAACAAGTTATTAAGGTGCTGTCTGGCTTTGTTTACCTGATACAAGAAACTTCTTTCTTTTTGTTTCTCTACATTAATCTCATTGTTTCGTACTGTACTTTGTAGAGTTTTTGATATTTTTAATGTTTTCTAGCAAAATTTTGAGTAAAGTTTCTTGCCATTCTATACTTTATAAATGGTGCAAACATCCAAATCGTATGTATTTTCTAATTATATCTCATTTTATGACTAGACTATTTTCAGGCAATGATAGCCTTATGTGCACTGTTGAGAACGGCGGTACTTTGGGAAGTAAAAAGGGTGTTAACCTTCCCAGCGTCAAATCTGATCTTCCACCAGTTTCTGAAAAAGATGTGCAAGATTTGAAGTTTGGTGTTGAACAGGTACTCATTTATCTTATGGTTTACTTCTTTATGTGAAATTCAAATACTGACAAGATAAATCTAAATGAATGAAAATTCAGGGCATTGACATTGTCTTTGCTTCGTTTGTTAGAAATGCAGAAGGAATACGAGCCATCAGGAACATTCTAGGTGAACAAGGGAAGCATATCAAAGTTGTTGCAAAAATTGAAAGTGAAGAGGGAGTCTCTAAGTAGTTTATCTGCTCATTTTTCCTCACCAGTAATCTAATGCAGATATTTGTGAATTGAAGTATAAGTAAAATCTTACGATCTTTGTGTAAAATATTTATACATTTAGTGCTGACGAGATAATAGAGGTATCGGATGGTGTTATGGTTGCAAGAGGTGATTTAGGCATTGAAATTCCACCAGAGAAGGTCTTCTTAGCTCAGAAAAAGTTAATTGCGAAATGTAATATGGCAGGAAAACCAGTAATTTGTGCAACGCAAATGCTCGAATCAATGATAAGAAGACCAAGGCCAACAAGGGCGGAAGGTGGTTCTTTTTGAGTTTTTTGAATTTACAAGTCTATAATGACTATTGTCTACCTTATTTTTAAAAACCTGTAAGCAGCTTTAAAATCTGTTTATGAATTTTAAATGAACTTATAAATGTTGCACTAGATCCTTTTTGGCTTCACGTGTAATAACAGTTAAGGCAGTGATGTAGCGAACGCAGTTCTCGATGGTGCAGATTGTGTTATGCTTAGCGGTGAGACTGCAAAAGGGGAATATCCACTAGAAGCACTAAAAATAATGCATTTTGTAGGCGTTTGGTTTCATATATTTTTCTGAAATTAATCTTTAATTCCTGTTTTCAATAACAAAAAAGTAACTTCAGCTTATTCAACGTTGAAAAAAAATTTGAACGTTATTGTGAGTTGGCTTCTTTTTTTACCACTGGGACCCTTGTGCGGATTATATCCTAGAATGTTTCTGGTTCAGGTTTGTCGAGAAGCCGAGTTAGCAACATATCGAGTAAAACATTTTGAAGAGATACTTCGGATAACACCAAGACCAGCGTACACTGACGTAGCTCATACTATTGCTATTGCAGCAACCTCAGCGGCCGTGTCCTGCCACGCTAGTGCTATTCTACTGGTAACTACTACTGGACGGTAACTTCGTTTTTGGCGCATCGCTACTTCTTTTGAACTCTTTATGCTTTACGCCTGCTTTTCAGTTTCCACATTCTAAAAGTTAAACTGATACTGAGTTATACTTCAGTTTTGTCGGTCCAATAGATGTTCCGTACCGGAACAATACTATACAAAGTTTTTTTAGCACCGCTGCTCTAGTTTCTCGATATCGGCCTCCTATCCCAATTTTTTCTATTTCACGTAAATCTTATGTGGCGAGGCAATTACACCTATATCGTGGTGTATTTCCTCTGCACTATCAAGGTTTTAATTATGAAGTTATTTTTAACTTGTTTTGAGTGTTTAAACAATTAAATTTTTGTCGTTAAACAAAATACAACTTGCTTGATGCTGCAGTTAGTTCTTGATCAGTAAACAGAAAACCGTGTGAAACTTTCTGGCACATCATTTGTTAACAAGGAAGTGTATAGCGTGGTTACATATCGTTGTGAAACCAGGTGATATTAAAAAGCCGATTTAGGAAGTCGGTGTGAGGATTGGCCTACCGACGTGGATAGCCGAGTAAATTATGGTATATCTGTTGGAAAAGAACGAGGTTTTATCCACAAGGGCGATTTGTTAGTTGTAATTACCGGATGGAGACAAGGTTTTTGGTTTGTTCATCTTTATTTAGGCACTCCCCTATTCTCGCCAGCAGCAGTAGGACATTCTATTTTTATCACTGAAAATTTCTTATCCATTTTATTTAACTAAAGGAGGTGTCTCTGCTAATTTTAATGTCAGTATCTGTCAGCTTTAAATATGAATGATTTCATTACAATTGTACTTATACTTACTTATACTCTTAAAAGATTAAATAGGACTATTTTAGGCGAAGGGAATACCAACACACTAAGAATAGTTACTGCCCCGTAAAGGAAGTCCATTGTGTTTGATGATTTAAAAAAAACTACTGTGTAACGCAGCCCACTTTTCTTGCTTCTTTTTGAACCTACCTACTTGGACGTCAGTACTGTCTCACCATTTCTTACAGCAATGTTATCAATTATCTGTTCGTGTATGCAACTGATTTGCTTTTCTTCATTTAATATTCAATTCTGGACATTTCATTTAATAAATTTTATTTAATTCAAGCCTGGTATAACTAACACAAAATAAAGGTATCTAATGCTCTGTTATCAAGACAGATCATTTTGACAGGCGGTAGTGAAGAAAATGTGGTTATAGAACATCATCTCGAGATAAACATCTATAAGGACTCATTTTCCAGTGAGTAACTAGCTGGTCGGTGCTGCAAAAATCATATTCAAAAACAAGTTTTAGCAATTTAACGTTAGTTTTTGACTCTATTGAAAGCTAGGCGTGGTTCCATAATTCCTTTACCGTTTACATCACAGCTCTTTTTTCGCACTCTGCTAAGCAGTCTTTAATAACTCTTTTGCCACTTTCTCCACCTGAATGCTCCAACATAAAAGTTTCAAAGAGCGGTAGCAGCCCAGCCAAGTAAGGCTGTTAGTAAATGGAAGGTGGTAACAATTAGTAACGATTAGTTGACTCCATCCACGTTTTTTCTCAAGAAGAAATACTATTTTGTCCCAACCTTCTCGGTAAACGATGGCAGTTTTGGTGTAAGGTTCCTTCTGCCTTCTTGAAAATGCTTGCCACGAATGTTCTGAAGGTTACCTTAGCTTGAGGCTCAAAACAATATTGCCGAATTACGCTGCAGACAGTGGAGCATTCGGCAAGATGCCGGTGACACAATTTCAAGTAGTCCTTCATAGCTATTCTTGAAGAATATTTCATGAGTTGACGGCCGTTGCCCTCATGGACACAAATTCTTATGTCCTCGTTTCCTACATTCAATACCTGTTTACCTATCTGAAAAATCTATACACCTCTTCATAATTATTTCTTAAAGTTCTAGTTCCGGTAGAAACCTTTCTGATTCTTAGTTCCAGCACTAAACTAGTTCTGGTGCTGCAATATAGTTTGCCCTTAATAAATTCACACAATCAATTAAAAGTTCGTTAAAAACGGCAAAAATTTTCTTACAAACTCAGCAGTGAGCGGGGAGGTCCTGGAAGAAACGCATGCGAAAACAGACTGCGGAACTGCTTGAGAAAAATGTCAAGAAAAAGCATTTCTTAGTTGTAATACTGCGCAAAATACAAGTTGATGGGAACTGAAACCCACAACAAACTCCTATTTAAGATGATTCCTTCACCGTTGATTTGGTGGGCTGCTGTACTCAGCACTGCGTACACTACAAACTATTCAAATTCGACGGCGTTTTGTATTTTTCAACGGCAACAAGCTTATTAAGCTAAGCTGCTAAAGCCCTCAGAATTGATACTCAAACAGCACTGAATATTTTGCATCACTTGGTGTTACTCGCATAACCTCGCCGCTTGATAAGCTCACTCACATTTGCGTGCTCGGGTCGGTTTTTTTTTTTTTCAAATAAGCTTCCTGGTACTCACGCGAACCAGTGGTCCCTCGCCCTCCCTCTCTAAAACCTTCCTCAAATAGGACGACAGTTCCGTCTTTCCAGTCACAGAACAGCCCTTTATCACTGTAGCGTCACTCTGTCAAGGGAGCCTAAAATCGCTTAGTTGCGAAACATTTAGGGCCGTATAAGCAGCATTTCTCTTAATTCTAGCAGTTTATTAAATTTGCTGTCGTGGAAGACGCGAAATGGCCGGTTTCGAATAAACTGCAGAGCGCACAGCGCTGAGAACACCGCTTCAGTAGGTTATTCTTGAAAGAACCATTGTGGAAAAAAATAAGCCGCTGCTTTGAGCTGCAATCAGCCCAACCTTTCTCCAGCATTACAAGTTCTGCAAAATCTGTTTTAATCTTAGCTCCGGACACACCAGAGTGAGGCCACAAAGTCAGCATTAAAGAAATTCAAAAATATTGTACGGCAAAACTAGTCACGTCAAAATTTTATGTGTGCGCTTCCGGCTGTCCGTCGCGCTTGAAACAATGAAACGTTTGCCGTACTTTCCTCAAACTGCTTTGCAGTTTTACAAGAGCTGTCGGTTCCTTGACGACACGACAACAGAACAGCTTTGAAAAGCATATTCAGCTGTTTCTGCATAATTTCTGCATAAAGTGCATTGCAGTTTCAGAAGAGCTGACGGTTCCTCGACGACACGGCAACAGAACAGCTTTGAAAAACATTCAGCTGTTTCTGCATAATTTTAAAGAGCGAGCAAGGCCGCTATATCATATGTAATATATAATATATTATGTGTTATATATAATGTATTATATATGATATATAATATATAATATATAATATATAATATA